TTAGGTATCCCCAGGGCCTCTTCCATGTTGACTTTGGAAGATGTCTATGGCTCTCAAATCATGAAGGGACCTGAATATTAGAAGATCATTTGAACTTATTTCTAGATTACTTAGCCCCCTTTCACCTCATATAGCAAGCTTTTTGTATCAGTTAAGATTAGGTTCAGCAGCAAGGGACAGAAACCCACAAATCATTGAACTAAATAGATTTTTATTTATCTTTCTCCTAAAAAAAATGGACGTAGTCACTCCAGGGTTGGAGGTTGGTTTGGGGCATCTCTATTACATAAAATCCACAGTGACTTAGATTCCTTCAAGCTCATACTTCACCATCCTTAAGGTGAGGCCTTCCTTCTCATGCCCCAAATGAGAGCTTTCATACTCCAAGCAACAGTATGCAATAAAGATTCAAAAGAAAGGGTAAAGGGCATGTGTCAGGTGTCTTTTAAGGAAAGGATACAGAAGTTGCCTTAGGATTTTTTTTTGCCTATATCCCATTGCCCAGAATTAGTCCTATTAGCCACACCAACCTGGAAGGAAGACTAGGAAATTCATTGTTCTTTCTGGGCAAACATAGCCCTCTAAATAATGTATTACAGGGAAGAAGGGGAGAATAAATATTGAGAGAAAGCTTAGAACCATGCCTTCCTTTTCACTTGTAAAGGCTCCATGGTGTTGATGGGCAGAACTGTATAACCGTCTTTGGTGATACCTGAGGCAGAGTGGTGGGGGTATAGTCGTGCAGCAGTTAACAACCTGGACTCTGGAGTCACATTGGCTGGATTTGAATCTAGGTTATTCGCATATGTAAAAAGGAAATAGTATTAGTGTCTTCCTCTTAGAGTTATGATGATTAAATAAAATATAGGACATAAAGCATTCAGCTTGGTATTGAACACTTCAACCTATTTGATAAATGTTAGTTAGCTCTTACTACGAGTAAAGTAAAATGCTTTTGAGAATCTGTACATCCCTATAATTTGGGGGACTTAGTTATATTTTTCCAGTTATAAAAAGATTCAGAGTGCTTTATGTTTCATTTCTAACTGTATTTCTCTCCTATTGGAAAAAAAAAAACCTGCCCATTTACATGCTTGGTTGGGAGTGGAGTGGGGAGTGGAGTGGTTCCTGACAAATTCTGTGCATGATTTTCTTTAATTTTGGGTGGGCCCTGAATAGTTCATTGGCCCCATCATACAAGCTTTTCTTTGCAACAGTTATAGTATGAAGTATACGTCACAGTTAAATATTTATAGAAGAAAATACAGTAAGTATTTCCACTCATGTAAAGGAGGAATTGTGTACCACATCAAGAGAAGAAGGCCAAGACAACCTACATAATGGGAGGAAATGTTTGGAAACCATCTATTGGATAAGGGTTTAATATCTAGAATTTATTATTAAAAAAATTCTTAAAACTCAACAACAAAAAGACTAACAACCCAGTTAAAAATTGGGCAATACACATGAACAGGCATTTCTCCAAAGAAGATACACAAATGGCCAACAATTACATGAAAAGGCATACAGCATCATTAGTCATCAAGGAAGTACATACCAAAACTACAAGGTACCACTTCACACCCACTAGAGTGGCTATTCTCAAAAAAAATGGAGTTCAAGCATTGGGAAGACTTGGAGAAATCCTAGTACTCTTACGTTGCTGGTGTGGATGTAAAGTGGTGTAACTGTTGTGGAAAATATTCTGGCAGTTTGTTAAAAAAAAAAAAAAAACATAGAATACCATATGACCCAGCACTTCCACTCGTAGGTATATACCCAAAGGAATTGAAAGCAGTGACTCAAAAGACACGTGTACAGTAATGTTCATTGCAGCATTATTCACAATAGCTAAAAAGTGGAGAACCATCCAAGTGCTCATCACAGATGAAATCCAACAGATGAATGGATAAACAAGTTATTATCACACACACACACACACACACACATACATACACATACCACATACATACAGTGGAATATTATTCAGCTATAAAGAAGAATGAAGTTTGGATACATGCCACTACAGCACAAAAGGTCAAATATTATATGATCTCAGATATGTGAAATACCTGGAGTAGGTAAATTCTTGGAGACAAAGAAGATTGATGGCTGGCAGAGAATGGGGGAAGAAGGAAGTGGGGGTGGGTGGGGAAGCATCATAGTATCTACTGAAAATAGGTGACTTGCATTTTATGTGAAATACTCCTCAATAAAGATTTTTAAAAATAGAATTAAAGAAAAAGAAAAAAGCCATCTTTGGATGGGTGGAGTTTAAAGATGGCACCATGGGGTAGGTATGCTATATTTTCTGTAAAGGGATAGACAGCTCTGAATTATAGCCAACCAAATGTCAGAGTATGTATTTGTCTGGTTCTTAATTTAGAAAAATGGATGAAAAGTAAAACTTAAGATTTCTAACTTTGATGTGACAATTTCCTTGTGATTACAAACAAAATAGCTATGTTAAGATATTTATTGCTAATACCTAAATGCTCTTTTGCTTCTCTCTTTTTCTTTCTTTCTCTAAGACCCTTCTTTGTTCTGTGGGTTTTCTTTTGTAACTCCTCCAGACTACAGCTTTGTCCCCCCTTCTTCCACTCCTTTCTGGTCAGGTACTGCTTTACTGCTTTTATATGTCTTTTCAATTTGCTTCTGTTTGCAAATAAAATATTTTGACTTCTGTGTATGGCTTCTCACATAGATACATCTCCCTGCAAGTAATTCCTCGAGGTTCATTACCACCATGCACTTTTTCCCTCTCTGTCATAAAGTCCTTGTTTGTCATGACATTTCACTCCTGGTTTTGTGTGTGCTTATCTTATGTGTTTCAGTAAGACATTTTATATTTTAGCTGTTGGAGAGAGACTGAAGAGGGATGGAGACTAGAAATACATCAAAGGGGATGGTGTTGAAGCACTTTCCAAAATCATTCATTTTCTTGGGAAACTAAAGTCTTAGTTGAAAAAAGCTAGTGCTTATGCATCTCCATCTAGTAAATAAATAGAACCAAAATCCCAACTTTGTCTCCAAAATAGAAGAGTAAAAAGGAAAAAGTATTGCTTGGAGCGAATGACTGGTACCCATCAATTTTATAGCTCTTCAGCTGGTACATGGGCATTTTGGTCTCAACTTCTGTCATTAACCACAGAGTTTAATGGCTCCTTGTATGACATTTAGTGGAGTACATTATGGCTAAGTAAAGTATGTTTTCTTACAGATTTTTAAAAATTAGTCTGTAGATCCCAATGGAATCATAACATTTAGAACTGGAAGGACGTGGAAGTCATCTAGTTCAAACCTTTCGTTTTATAGATGAGAAAAATGTGGCCTAGAGGAGTTAAGAGACCTGTGCAAGGTCACACAGTTAAGTTGACGATTGGGTTTTTCCATCACAGGGGTGTTTTTATGTGCACCAACTCTAAGAGTAGTGCTCCAGTAATGGAACAGTTTTCAGTAAGAAAACTATTAAAGACGTTTGTGTCCTGTACAGTAAAATAAAATGACCAATTTTTACTCCCTTTACAGTTGTGAAATCTACAGCCTTGCCATTGATTTATCTTATGATCAATGCCTGGGGACTTAAAAATTCCTGTAAAAAGTTACAAAGCCATGAAAATAGGCTAGAGATCCCTGTCTCAAAGTGGGTGGGCCCTTCCAGGGTAATGGTCCCAGCTGTAGCTGCCTGGGCACTGGGGGCTGTTAGAAATGCAGATGTGTGACGTTTCCCATTTGTCTCCTTTTCTTACACTTAATTTCCTCTACCAATCTGAGGTGAGTGATTCTCAGAATCACTGGACATATAACAGAAAACACTTTATAACCCCAAAGAGCAACAGGTAGAGAAGTTAATAGAAAATGTGTTATGAAACACAGGGAGCTCTGGTGGCATAGTGCCTAAGGCATTTGACTGCTAACCCGAAGGCTGGTGGTTCAAACCCACCAGCCAGTCCTTTGCAGGAAGATTGGGCTATCACGAACAACTTGAACAGAGTTCTCTTTTCAGAACAGGCCCAGTGTAGGCAAGAGCAGGGAATGAGTTAGCTCCCCTACTACTATCCCTCCCTCTGAAGGAGTACCTCTGAATATAGGACATGAACATCCTGACAAATTGAATAAGGAAGGTTTTTTGTAAGGCAATAATATCTGCTTGAGAGAAAGGAGATCTATAGATAGTGTTTGGTGTCCTTTCTGATTCTGGCTTCTTCACATAAGTGAAATATATATAAATACATATAAATAAATGAGTTTATTCCCAAATAGTTGTAACCAAAAAGACTAGTTAGGGGAAAAGTACCATTTAACTAGAAATGGATTTGACAGGAGACTTTGTGAGGAAAAAAAAAATTGCTTTGAATGTTAGTTGAAGAGTTTACTTAGAGATTTACAGTAGATAAAAGTGTAAAGATTTTTACCTTAGAGGTTCTAGTTAGAAATAGATTACTGTGCCATCAGTTGGGAATTTTATTTCATATTCTTTCTCCTTAGATAGTAATTTAGATATTAACCTGGTACTTAACAAAAACTAGTCTCTATTTTGAAGTTCTTAAGAAGAATATGAAAGCAAACAATGGCTCTTTAAATCAGGGCTTTGAACTGGGTCATTCTAGTTTGACCCCCTGCTGAGATCTTGCATTTCCACCCCAGACACACTGAATCAGAATCAACATTATAACAAGATTTATAAGAATTACGTGGGGATCTTGTTAAACTGTTGCTTTTGATTCATTATATCTGGGGTGGCAATGTAACTCCTCAACTTAGGGGCAAACAGGAATGAAGTGGTTCAAAGCCCTGCTTTAAGTTTTGTGAAATGAGCTTGACTACACCTGATTGAATTGAAACAGCAGTTCTGCTGCTTTCAAGCTCCCCTTCCATGGTCGCTAGTGTGCAATGAAATCACGGCTGTGCATTTGATAGCATCAGTGACGTTCATCTGATTTAGGTCCATGGTTGTTCACCATCTGCAAATCAACACTGATGCCATCATTTCTTTACAGTGTTGAGCCCCAAAGTGCTGGGCATCGCCATCGCCCGGTATGACTTCTGTGCAAGGGACATGCGAGAATTGTCCTTGTTGAAAGGCGATGTGGTGAAGATTTACACAAAGATGAGTGCAAATGGCTGGTGGCGAGGAGAAGTAAATGGCAGGGTGAGTTGTCCCTCTCACTGAAGTTATGTGTCTGGATGAAGGGGGTCAGTGTCCATTGGCATCCACCGTGGTGCTGGTGAGAGTCCCTCTAGTGCCTTTGCAGCTTCCCCCTCCAGCCCCCTGGCTTCCAGAGACTGGTGCTGTCCCTTGCTGATAATAGGCACTCATTAAATATGTGTTGAATGAATACCATAGCATAAACAAAGTTCCCCTTGGGCAACTTTGACTTCCTGTTGGGAAAGGTTGAGGTGTTACCAGAAGCATTTCAGTATTTTTAGTCCCTAAACCTCAGAGCATAAACTTTATGTCTAGTTCACAATATCTGTAAGAGCTGGTGATCTAAATTGGAAAGAACGGGGCATAATACCTCTGTCTTTACATCCTGTTCTGTATCAGAAATAGGAATCTTTATGTAGTAGATCCCTGTATTACATGTAATTTACATATATATTTGTGTGCTAGCAGTTTAGAATGCTGTTTAAGCTTGTTTTATTCTTGCATTTCTATCACTCACTCCATCAGGCTTCCAAGACTGGTTATACCAATTTACTTCACCTACAATGGGCATAAACCTCCAACTTAATTGGGGTGTTACAAAAATGAAATGCTCTGTTTGTAGAACCCTTTGAGGTGTCAGATGCAAAATCATGTTGCTATGTTAGTTGCTTTTCTTTTTTAGGTGGGCTGGTTTCCATCCACGTATGTGGAAGAGGATGAATAAATTCCAATCCAGCTTTGCACTCTGCACAAGGAATTTCAGAGAAGGGATAAACAGAAGTCTGCACAGCACTATGAATTAACTGAAGTGTTTAAAAAGCTGCATTTCTGGCTGTTCAACATCCTCCCCCCTTTTCCCTCCTAAGTCTTAATGCTGGGATTTTCTAAAGATGCTGGTACTGACAGATTAATGGTTTGCCTAGAGCTGTGCAAGAAACAGCCTGCCAGTCTGTCATTGTCAGGGATGAGGGCAAAGCCAAAAGCTGTTTTTCCCAAAGAAGCCCTGATGCAAACACATTGGTTCATGTTCTCTTTCCTACATCTGGTCAGATACCATGAATATCAGCCATTGGTAAATGTTTAATGCATATTTATTTTCTTCCCACATTGCATTCACCAGAATTTTCGATAGTATAGAGAACCAGAAGCTTAATTTTGCTTTTCCCAGCAAGAAGAAAATTAGAGCTCCACCATTTGGGCTTCTTACTGGAAAAGCCCACATTACATCTGTTAAACCCGTCCAACAAGGTGACTCATTGCCTGGCGAGCACTTTCATCCCCAGATGTTCCTCATGGTAAGAGAAAGGAGGCAAATGTTCAGGTTTGCTTCATAAGTAATGTGTGCCACAGGGGTTTTGATTATTCATGTGATTTCTTGATTTGATTTCACAAACTTTAAAAAAAAATAGTCTTCAAAACTTTCATGATTCCAAAGGTTGGTTTTGGAAATGTACTTCACTTTCTGAAATAATCCTGGCCTGGTGTATGATAGGTAGTTGCAGATACCCTGAGCAAGGTGGCATTGTTTACAGAAACAGATCAAGGGCTGTCATTTATAGTCAGTCTCAGTCATTTTATAGCAGCAGTATCTACTATAACACATGCCTTTTCCTCCACCAAAAGAATATCTGGGTGAGATTTCCTGATGCCCACATTTTCCTGGAATATCTATGGTCACATAACCAACTTTGTTGAGGATTTTCTCCAGAAAGCACAGTTGTGTCCTTTATGCATTTCTGGGACAGAGAGAGGATTACCAGGCTTTTCATGTCTTGTTCACTGAGGGCTTCCAGCTTCTCTCTGAGGGTCTTCCCCTTGGCAGGCCCTCCATAGGGGTGTTTTAATGGTGGGAAGATGAGTTTCACAGTGCATTTATTTTACAGAGCCTTCATTGTTTATATGAGGAGTCTAACTATGTTCTTCCTGGGATGCCCAGAATCCCCAGTCAGGGCTGTCAAGTTACGACACTAACTTGGGCCTTTGCCTTTGATTATTTTCTCCAAAGCAGAAGTCATGTTCTAACAAGACTCAGAGTGTTTCTTGTTTTAAAAAATAAACAGCAGCAGTATTAGCATAATAGAGCCAGGTGAGGAACATTCAGTTCCAAAATGTCAGATTATCTCTGAAATGAGGTGGGTGTGGCCTGCTGGCTCCCCAGCAACTATGATGTCAGAACTTGATTTTCCATGGACACAGCCCAGGACTGAGACCTTCACAGGCTAGAACTTCTCATCTAGGATAGATTCAGGACGCTTACCTCAGAATTATGTAAACTGTGATTGTGTTTTAGAAAAAGTATTGTTTGCTAAAACCCGTTAAGTTTTTGTATATGTGTAAATGATCACTAAAATGTGTTTTATAAAATGTCTGTACAGTAAAGTTCTACCCTTGAGGAGTGCTCTTAGATTGCATTCTTTCCTATAAAGTCTCATCCACAACTCTGTCTCGGGAATGTTCTGTCTGTTACTGTCAACCAAATGTTACGGAGAAAGCAACTTCACACACATTGAAACACTCCTGTGTACAGTATTTTAGCTTGTATTGTTCATTTTAGCAAATAGACTCCACCCTTAAAAATGTTGTTTGGTCTTCCTGTTGCATTTCATGGACCTGGGGGTTTTCTAACTAAGGATTTTAGAGCCCCTTTTCATGACATTACCAGTTACATCTCTTTGTCAATGTTTAATACTTTGTATTAGAAATGTTAAATGCTGCGAATTTATGTAGATTTCTAATACCAAAGACAAAAGTAAATGTTTTTCCATATACTTTGTCTTGCCTGTATGCAGCTTTGTGTAATATGGTAAATTATAGTGGTATTTCATTTTGTAATATTTTGTAAATATGTCGATACAATAAATAGTGACTACTTGCATTGAAGAGTCTTTCCATTGAATGATTGCATAACTCACATTGTTGTTATGTGCTGTCAAGTCAGACCCGACTCATAGCGACCCCTCCTTGGGTTTCCAAGGCAGTATCACTATGGAAGTGGATTGCCCAACCTTCCTAGTGACCTCATAATAAACATGGAAACAGAAACCTTGGCTTTGATCAGTTAGGAGAACTATAACTGCATATAATATGTATTGACATGCTTACTGTATGTCCAGGTGGCACAAATGGTTAAGCACTCAACTACTGACCTAAAGGTTGGTGGTTCAAACCTTGAGAGGCACGTCAGAAAAAAAGCTTGGGCATCTGCTTCCAGAAGGTCACAGCCTTACAGAGTACAGTTCTACTCTACAACACAAGGCGACACCATGAGTTGGAATTGACTCAACAGCAACTGTTTTTTGCTTTGGTATTACATGCCACACACTGTTCCAAATACTTTAGGTGCATAAACTTCCAACAACAAGAAGGAAGGAGAGCCCCATATTACCTCCATTTATCAAAGAAACTGAAGCACAGAGGTTGCAGCTGCCCAGTGTCACACAGCTGTTGTCAGAGCTAGGGTTCAGACCCAGACAATCTGGCTCCAGAGCCCACACCCTTAACCACACCCTGTACTGCCATATTGCATACACTGTAACAACTGAAGTGAGAGAGATTAGGTACATTTCTAAAACTGCATAGCCAAGAAACCATTTGGTACTTAGTGGTGTTTTAGACAATTGAAGGTTTATACAGAGTTCACTGCACATTCCCCTAACTTTGCCTACTAAAAGAAAACCCCTGAACATATATGGCCTAGAGCAATTAGTGTCAGAGATTGAACTTTTTTTCTATTTTGATTCAACTCTTGCGTTAGAATATAACTAACTGCTAAATCAGAGACTAAGAGACAAGTTCTTGTGCAGAGCAGATCCACAGTGGTCAGTCATCTCAGAGAGATAATGGAAACACATTTCCTTCTAAGGACCTGGAGGGGCATTTCCACAGTGAAAGTCTCTGCTAGATATCACCATCACATCTGTGGTCAGAAATACAAAGTCTCCCCATTTTCATTACAGTGATATATTGTACGGTCCTCACTTCCTTTATTTCAGGAGCTGATTCCATTGGTATTTTTTATTTTATCATTTCCACATGTTAAAATGTATGTGACTTTTAGACCTGTACCAGATCATCACCATCCTCTCCACTACCACTGATCATATTTTGAGTTTTTGACAGTTCAGAGATGGTTTCTTTATGTATTAACATGGGCATATACCCTTTAAAACATTTCAAGTGTTTTGTCTTCCATCAGTTAATTGAAGTAAAATGTGTCAGTAGTCAGTCTTTATGAGCCATGCTTTGTTATACTTAATTTGACAGCTGTATAGAAGAGTCATAAGGAGCCCTGGTGACACAGTGGTTAAGTGCTCAGCTGCTATCTAAAAGGTTGGTGATGGAAATCCACCTAGTGGCTCCATGCAAGATTGGCAATCAGCTCTCATAAAGATACAGCCTAGGAATCCCTGTGGGCAATCCTCTTCTATCACATGGTGTCTTTATGAGTCAGAATCGAGTCACCAGTACCTAATGACAATAATAGAAGAGACATAAAAGAAGAGAAGTTAGCTCCTACAGGTAGCCATTGATAGAACTGAAGGACAGTTTATATCCCAGCCCAGGCACACAGCGTCCCAGCCAATCAATGTAATGATAGCACCTACCTCATAGGATGTAAAACTAAACTGAGATCATGCATATAAAGTGAAAGTATGTCTGGTTTATCCTGAGCTATTTTGCTGTCATCATCAGATGGATTTGTTAACACATTTGGATAGCTGACATCTTCAACCTTGAATGCCTTTCTATAATTTAGGTTCATTTATTGGATTAAAATCTGTTGCCATCAAGTGGATAAAGACTCATAGTGACTCTATAAGATAGAGTAGAACTGCCCCATAGTGTTTCCTAGGTCATAATTTTTATGGAAGCAGGTCACCAGGTCTTTTTTCCCATGAAGCCACTGGTGGGTTCAAAATGCTGACATTTTGGTTAGCAGCAGAGCACTAAATCACTATACCACAAGTTTGCCTTATTTATTGGATGAAGGGGTAATATTCTACACATTCTAAATTAGATGGCATAGTCCCTAAGGCATTTGACTACTCAGAAAGCTGGAGGTTGAAACCCACCAGCCACTCCTCAGAAGGAAGACTGGGCGATCTACTTCCATAGTGATACCACCTCAGAAACCCAAGGAGTGGTCTCTATGAGTTGGAATTGACTCGACGGCAGTGAGTTTGGATTTTTTTGGTTTTCTCTAGGAACTAAATTAAACCATTTCTTGTCAGAGGAAGAGTGGAGGTTTTAGCATTAGTCAGAACTGGGGTTCAAACCCCAGATCTCTGCCATTAACTTTTCTGAGCATCAATTTCTTCTTATGGAATGAAGGGAATCTTACAGGTGTCTAAGGAAGCTCCAGTGGTGCAGTGGTTAAGGCATTCAGCTGCTAACCAAAAAATTGATGGTTCAAACCCAGCAGCCACTCCATGGAGAAAAATGATGCATTTGATTTCAGTATTTACAGCCTTGGAAACAGTATGGGGCAGTTCTACTCTGTCTTCTGGGGTCACTATGAGTCAGAATTGACTCAATGGCAGTGAGTTTGGTTTGGTTTGACTCATAGGTGTCTGAGAGTGCTTTTGTGAAGAATAAGCAAGATGTCATATGAAAAAGATCCCCAAGGCAGAGCTTGGCACATAGTAGATACTCAAGGAATCTTGGTCTCCTACTCTTTATGAGCAGTCAAATTCCTCAGGTGCCAAATTCCATACTTGCAACCTT